CAATCGTTGTCTGAGAACCATAGCTCGTGTGGGTTGGTGTCAGCGAATCCGTAACGAGGCAGTTAGAAAGCGTGTTTTCGGTTGTGTAACGGGTACTTCCATTGAAGAATGTGTCCAGCACCAGAAGCTGCGTTGGTTGGGACATGTTTTACGCATGCCGAATCATCGTTTACCGAAAAAGTACTATTTTCTGCTGTCGTTGATGATGATGATGATGCGTAATTGGACTATGATTGCCCCAGCTATAGATAACAGTCGGGTTATCACATATTGTGATAGGCAATCAGTAGATGATACCGAATGTTCAATAGTATACAGTATGGTGCTGTATCAGCATCCCCCTTCTTCATATGAACATCCAACAAGCGGAAGCATTCATTGATATCTTGCTCCATAAAGGTGATATTTTGGTGAGCTGAGTAGAAAGTGCAGAGTACATCATTCATGTCGGCGTCGTCATGTGACTGCTTCCTAATTTACTCATAAATATAGCGCCAAAATGAGAGCTAGCGCAGATCCCTTCGCTGACCCCTCTTTCCGTGCGCAGACCTCGTCAGTGAATCGGATTTGAACGTTTCGCGTGCAGTGCAACATAGTTGTTTGGGTTCTGAGACAGGAATATCAATGTCCCTGCCACTCAGTGAAGTAATAAATATAGTTTGTGTTTTCTCCAGTAGCATATTTGTAAGAATCGGTTTAATATCATATTCCGGTTAAACAAATGTCTCTAATCTGGAGACGAAGTGAAAGGTGTCCTCGAGGCTGTATAGTGTCAGTTCATGCTTGAGGGGCACAAGAGTTACTTTGCCAACGCATGACCAGACCAGTTAGGCAGGGCAAGAATAGAGCTCATGGATAAACCGGATCTATGCACTTTTGGAAGACCCTACAATCTAGGAAACATCGTATCGTTTGAACGGATGAGCGAAAACATAATGCGCGGTCTAGCTTGGTCGAAGTAATATGAAACATTCGGTTGTACCCAATGAATCCCTATGGAGTGATATCATTGTGAGCTCAAGCCTTGCAATCTACCGTACGCACATGATCTTATTCCTCCACTCGCTTTGAAATGGTCGAAAATCAAGTTTACGGGTCGCCAACGAAGGTGTCATAGCTTTCACTACATACAAGGCACGAGAATATGCATAAAATTGATTGAACGGCCTGACAGTGAATCAACCAATGTGCGCACTCACGTACACACACAATTGGTTTGGAAAGGAGGTCAAAGGTTAACACATAAAATGGCAGAGAAAATGGAATGGGGCCGTATGAAGAGTTCAGCAAAACGACAGGTGATTTTTCACCTATCGATTCAGCGACTGGTAAAGTTGATTCGGTGAGAATACCTTGATACAAGCTATATTTGGGTCCAATAAGCTTCGGAATGAAGGGACAATTATCTCTGGCAATGGTTAGCCTCCAAGGCGATCCTGACTATGTTCGTCACATTTATGCCTTACGATGAGAGAACTACCGCCCACCAACAATTGTTTAAATCGGCATTTCACATAGTGGTAGAGCGCTCGTTTAATCAACTTTACGAAATCCAACTCCTATGAGAAGTTCCAAGAGGTCACAGACCACCAATACTCGAGCTCAATAATCAGCAATAATGATGGTGCAGATCATAACCCAAGTGAATATGGGGTTTGTTGGGTGAAAAAACAACGAATGTCATACTCGTACTCCATATCCGTACAACAATATACGGGAATATGTAATCACTGAACACTCATCAAATGAGTGAAAGAAACCCCACTATGCCCCATGCGACAATGATAATGTAACTCAGTCTGGTTGGAATGCAGACAGATAGACCCGAAAATGAAAGCACAGTTCATTACCTTTCGCGTGACCAGTAGGAGATCGTAAACCCCGACCAAAAGAGGAGCGACGACGTTTGACCGAAGAAAAGCGCAAAGTAGTTGACGCGTCCGTATCCGAAGGAAGAAGTGTACGATTATCTTTGGAATTCGGTGAAAACGGTTGAGAGTTTGGACAGCTAGGGGTGCTCATGGTAGTTTTTGCGGACGGATGGGGGTCTGCCCGTGATCTCGAGCGAAGTATCCACTCGAAAAAATCCTCCATTTTGACTGGATCAGGACAGTCCTTAGGATCTGTGTGATGGTTCATTTTCAGTGGGATCAAGCCCAGATCGTCCATCGCCTGCGCTATCTTTTTCTCCACACGGTATGATGAACTCACATGCATTTGTTTAGCCAAGGCTTTTAGGGGTTGACACGCCTTTGCCGATATTGCATGGCGTATTTCATCTGTCAGAACCGGAAACGCTAAGCAATGGCCGGTGTTGGTACAGTCTGCGTCAAAAGAGCTGTCACGGTTTGAATCAGTTTCGGTTTTGAGTAGTTCACTAGTGCTGGAGGAACAGACAGCAGACCCATCCTCACTTTGTTCCTGAGTTTTTGCTGAGTCTTCTGTCGTTTTGGCTGAAATTGCCAGGCGAAGTATAAATGTATACATATAGACAGGGTGAATAAAACAACTCTTTGAGTCGCATCATGTGCTACACATGCAATGCCCACAAGCACCACTGCGACTCTTCGGTTGAGCCTAAATTAGACAATTAAGTAAAATGGATACGAATCACGGTTAAACAACAAAAAATTCGTATCACTAATGATTGTTGCATTGTCCCTTTACTCAAATTTACCTATCTGGACCTCGCTAGTCAATCTATCATAATTACCATGAGGATGGCGAATTGCGGTCGTGGGGATAGCAATGCTTCCAGTGCGCCAAGCATTTGTTTTCGTGCTACTCGTATATTACAAGTAGGTAAAAAACAAAACGAAATTCAATGGAGGAAAATGTTGGTAGCTCAGGTAGGGTACATGGCCGCTGGCTTGTTCGCTGAGAATTTATGGCTGAGGCGGTAATACAAAGGCTAGAGCGTGCGGCACTGCCGATCATCAATCCAAAGCTGTGAATCCGCTACGTAGACGACGCCCTTTTCATCATGAAACAGGATTCAGTGCACGACGCACATGAACTGCTAAACACAACGTGTGAAGATATCAAGTGCACAATCGAACTGGAAAGAAACAATCGGCTACCATTCTTAGACGTTTTAGAGAACAGAAAGGTGGGTGGGACGCTGGAAACCTGCGTATACCGTAGAGAGACTCATACGGATCAAATACTGAAATACAACAGCAATCATCCAGTAAACCACAAAAAGAGCTGCGTCGAAACCTTGTTCAAGAGGGCTGAGACACTCTGCAGCACAACAGAACTACGGAAGAAGGAGGAGGACCATCTATTCAGAGTCTTCCAGAACAATAGATATCCAAGGAGTTTTATCAAGAGAAGCTTGAAGAAGAAGGTATCTCAACAACAGCATGAACAAACCACCGGACGGGTGGTCCTACTTTACATCGAGAATACATCAGAACTTGCAACCAGATTATTGGCTCAAAAAGGAATCTTCGTGACCCAAAAACCGAGTAGCCACCCTAAAGTAATTAATCTCTAGACCGAAGGACGACCGGGACAAAACCAAGAGGAACAACGTGATATACCAAATCAACTGCAACAACTGCAACAAATTCTATGTTGGACAGACTGGGAGGAAATTATGTACACGAATAAAGGAACACAACGCGGCTGTCAAGGGGCATGACCCCCTGTCCTTGATATCTATACATGAGGACCAAGAAGGCCACAAATTCAATATGGAAAACGCAAAAATTTTTGCATACGGAGAAACGCGACACGGAAGAGAATTTCTGGAAGCATGGTACTACATGGCATATTCGATCGAACTGGATCCCATCTACACATATCTAAGTAAAAAAGACCAACATCTCAACCGGAACACTCAAGGAGGACCGAATACTGGATTCACAAACAAGGAAACAAGGAACTCCTCGGGATCAAACTAATGAAGGTCACAAGCCGGAACTCGGAAGGACAAAGGTCACTCCAACATCGACCAGATTACGACGGCGAGGGATGCCAAGCTCAAAGGTCACGTGGGCATCGGTGAATGAGGAGACGGGGTAACAGAGCAACCAATGGAACCGCCCGACCAAACAACTAATCGCGATCAAAGGCCATCCCCGGCTACCAGAACGTATATTAACACACACGTAACACTACTCAACGCACAACAACTAACCCACCGCTACGCACAACTATGCTCCTCAATAACGCACTGATGATGCCACCCAGATTGGTGATGAAACATTTGCGGTCAAATTGTCCAGCTCAACGAACAAAACGAAATACATGGAGGCCAGGGTTCAGCTGCCAGAGAGTAGGTACAAAAGCGGCATTTCCCATGGATCGTCAAATGCTATCAATAACCCGTACTGAATCCACTTAAACTGGTGCGTCAGCCCATTCCTCCGGATCTACGAGAACACCGTTACTGTCACTCAGTGTTAGCGGCATGGCGGAGAGCGTGAATGCGCGTACGTGTCCTCCATTCTGATGAATGAAACGTCGTCCACTACACCACCAGAGGGCATGCTGACATAATCCCGAATCGGAAAATGTGGCCAAAACAAGTAAATGTGGATTGACATATTTAATAACCAACAATTGTCCGAACGGATTGGTTGGTAAACTTCGGAAATCCCTGCACCCTCAGCTGGAATCCCATCGCATTGAGCTCTGCAACTACCACGGTCAAGCCGCTTTTCTTTAACAAGTATGTTCAGGCGGGTGGATAGAAATCGGCAGATCCCATTCAGTAATGGAATACGAAGGTCCATATACCTCTATCGTGAAACCATTATCAGCCTCACATCTGAAGTGTAACGAGGATTTTGTACACGTGTTTCTCATTCTTGAAGGCCTGAAGGCCACACTGAAAGTCAGTCTCGTCCACCTACGCCACGAATATAGCCTAAAAGTTAGGCGTCATGTTATCAAACAAGTGGTAATGCGAGTAGAATAAGTCGGATGGGATCACTGGGGGGGGGGGAATAGGCGAGCAAATCAGCCTATGTACCGACCGACTTAGATAGACTCATCTCCAATAATAATAATATAGAAGCGGTCCTTACGTTATATGACAGATAACTCCTTGAGCTCTCTCCTCCTATCATACTAAAACCATCTGGACTATTCTAAACTCATTTCTTGTTATTATTGCGTCCTCCACAGGGACCGATGACTAAGTATTTGTCAGTAGTCAGGCTGTTTGAGTAAGCCAGCAGTCAGTTAGACTAAGAAACCACACAAGATCGAATACACCAGTCGTGCAAACCGGTAGACCACCGCGAAGTGCGGAACGTAACAGCTTGGAACTTTCAAAGGGTCACGTGATCGATCCATCTAAGTGCACCTGATACATCACAAAAAGAGTGAGAGGTTTTCTTTTGCTAAGCTTTTAGGGAGTCGACCGCACCTTTACATCCGGTAAAATGCGGAATTTGCATATTAGTAACTGTCAGGAGATCGATGACTATTCACTCGGACGAGCCAACGGCTGGTTGGACCGAGAATCAAACCTGGAACTGGAAACAAGTATGCAACTTTTTACAAGTAGGAGCGTCCTCCAGCGTTTTAAATACGTTAGTCCGTGGGTTGGACAGATCTTATCCCCAATGTTTGGCACACACGAAATGAACTTTTTCAGCTCATGTAAGCGTTGAATCTACAATGTAAACTGGCATCAGCATTACAGGACTTCAGGATAACAACGGTTCCCAAGAATATTTTGTCCTATTTCACCTAAGCAGTCAAGTGCTATGGTTTTCACTGTGCTATAGCCCATAAATAAAATCGATTTCCTAACCTGGTGGCCAATCCGCTCTGCTCCCGGTAGATAACGAATTCCTCGTAGCGCCAATATTTTCAGAAGCAGTTGATTGCGCTCTGTTTTCTAGGACTACGTTTAATCGCAGAGATGAGGTAAACTCATTCAAACTCTAGAAACACCTTAGCGATGAATCTGGGATAAGGAACCAAACGTGCAGGGTTCACAGAGGGGACAATAATATGGGAAAGCGTTTCTGACCAATTGTACTTTTTTGTCAGGTCTTGAGTTGGAAGTGGTCTATTTCAACCAATGCAATATGGAGGAGCAGAAAGCTCTTCTATTGGTGAGAGCACAACTGACACAGACGAGTGATACACACCCGTGGCAAGTCAGAAACATGTTGAACACCATCACCACAGGGCCGCGTTCTCAACCTGATGGTCTGAAAATCAGACCACACGACATCGATGGCTTCATTTATACAACACCACAAAACCCGGTACAGTATAATCCAAGAGCGATTGACAAATGTGGACAGAGTACTTACCGTCTTCTGAGAAATGACGAATACATTCTGTAAAGCTGAACACAACGTTCTCCTGATAGCAGGAGTTCAAAAGCGATTGAGACAACTTCTCCAGTCCGCAAGCCTCATTAGGCGGTTTTCTTTGAATTTAAGATAAGAAAAGGAGCATAAGTCATTCGAAGATACAGCTTTTACATAGCGCTCGAGCACGTTTCGTTAAGATATGCTCAGGATGTGTCGTATACAGCAACTGATATTACATGTAGACCTAAAAGAAGCTACTAAACATAAGGTCGTAGCATGAGACAGTGCTGACCTGATTGATTGTCAACCCAGATAGACCTTGAGCGGTCACACGATGGTACCACGTGAAGATACATCGATTAGAATATACCGACAATGCACGCAGGCGAACGGTGATACATGAAGTAGAGCATCAGAAATCTAGAACATGAGCTAACTTACAGCTTGGTTTACTATCGCAATACATGACGAATGAGCACTTTAATCCCAGTGGGATCGCAGTAATGCGTTACAGTGGAGAAGGGAAAATTCAGACTCAAAGTGGATCAAAATTATCATTAACCACCGGTCGTTCATGTCGAATAAGAAGGAGGGAAAACAAAGTCGTCCATTTGGGACTGACAAACAACTAATAATTACGGTACACTCACACCATTCGACCTACTTATTGAGTAGTCAGAGGTGGATCAAGTGTTAGCACGTATAGTGCAGCGATGATATGTTGTTTGGATTTCGATCGAAATGTGGGAACGTCGTTGACTGCTTCAGGTGACACTACTAGCCGTCACTATGGATCGTAACTAGAAGCAAAACTATGGACATGATACCACCAATACTGAATGTCATGGGTTGTTTACGTGGTGCCCACGTGTATACCCATCAAAGAGACTGCTTTCCTCCGTTCACAGGTAACGACAACAGTGCTAGCCAAAAACGAAACTTCTCGAGCGACAGAGAACCCTTTGACTCCATTAAGCAGCTGACTGCTAACGAGGGTTCACGACAGGGTGAAGAGTTGGTCAGGCTTTTGGTAAGCATTAGAACTTTACGAGACCCTATCCTAGGCACCCTATCAACACAGCACCGCGTATTCAAGACAAAGGTGCCATCAAGTTCATTAGTACAAGTGGTTCCCTCTGTGGTTGCATCGGGTAATTCAGTGGTGGGTAAGTTAAAAACAGAGGTAGTAAAAATTGGCAAGTGCACTTCCAGGGAACAGTTGAGAACACAGTTTCACGGTCTAGGTCGTAAAATACGTTGACAGAAAGAAGTGGGCTTCATGAAACAGAAAGAGTGCGTCGAAAACAAACAAGCAGTTGTAACAAGGTAGTACAATTTCCGCCAAAGCCTACAGTTTCACTAGAAAGCATAAGAAGGGAATAAAACTAACGAACCTCAACTCGCTTTCGATAAAGCGTAGATTCTGGCTAACACGAGGAGAGAACATCGTTTCGCCAACTGCCTGATCCGTGGTAGCCGTACTATCCTCGATTTGATGACAGGTCGAAACACTGTTCTCTCGCCTTGGACGCTTTGGAGCTAGAGTGAAAGAACAACAAGCAACGTGAGAAGCAGTCGTTGGAGGAAAGAAAATAAGCCGCGTTAATCGGGGACTTCTGACACATACCTGGAGAGTGGACGACATCATCGGCTGAACGAGTTTCTGAGGGGTTTAGGGATAGTGGCTGTAAAATAGTGGTTTCCAAGTCCTGATAAGATCGAATGAGATTTTCCAAGTAGCTTATATTGGCCTCTGTGATCTCGGCGCAGTAAGGTTCCATCAGCTCCCAAAATTTATTTGGAATCGCATAGCTGTCAGACGAAAGATGGGGAACGAAGATTGTATTTTGTAGTCCATCTTTAAAAAGTTATAGAATGGACTAATCGAATAAGTAGCTCGTAAACTAAATAAGAACGAAAGCTCGGGAAACCAGTGTGAATACCCTAAGGATTTTGATGCGAATATTATGTTACGCGAAGTAATCGAAGAATTACCTGAGTTTCACTCGCTAATTAAGTCGGTTTATGGTATAAAAGGGTAATTTTTGGAGCGCAGGTGCGGACAACTGTGTTATTCCACTGAGCGCAACAACCCATTACTCTATTGAGAACAAGGCTTCTATGGAATTTTCACTTGCTGTGGGAGGATTCCTAACACCTACCTCGATTAGCTGTTGTTTAATGGTCGTCCTTTCAGGTGGCACAGATGAGACATTTTTAGCCGCAAATCCGCTTTCACGAGTAACAGTCCACATCGGTGTGTTTAGTATTGACGGGTAAAGTGAACTGGACCCACGCTCAAACTTCTGTCACGAAGAGACTGGACATTATCGTGGTGTGACGGTTTGTGTAACTTGGCAACCCACTGAGCTATACAGGAAGGTGGTGTCCGTGTGACACTCGCAGAGGTTCTCATACCAGGTTGGTTAGGGATCTCAGTCTCCTCGTGCTCCAGGTTGGGGGTTAGAGCATGTGCGGTGACGTGTTCAATAGAAGTGGTAATGTACTTGCATTTCCAGTCAAACACCGCTGATTTGCTGTCAGGCTTTCGAGTCAAAGGCTTTGGTTGAGGTCTTTATTCGTCCTCCTGTCAAGATGTGGGCAACCTGCTAGTATCTCAGTCCACGTACAGCTAAGAACTGCACACAAAAGAATGAACTCATGCCACATCGGCCGTCCCGTGGTGCCATCAACCGGGTAGCCTTACTTGCTGCATACAGCAGGGCGAGTAAGCGAAAACAGGCTACTGCTGACGCCTCCGTTCTTTCTCCTTAACATACTTTCCTCTCCCACCCCATTAATAAATCCCCCTTGTAGACCCAGCAATCGGAAATGATGACTCCGCTTATCCTGTATCGGTTTTACAAGCAACATCTGCGTGCCATCCTACGTCAACAACCTCAGGCATCTCGAAATCAATCTTGAAGTCTCGATGCCCAGTCCAACTGGATGCTTTCAATGTCCGCACTCTGAAGCAAGCATGACAGCAAGCTGCGCTTGCTCTCACAATGGACTCGCTTGGTATTGATTTGTGCTGTCTCCGAATTCAAGATGCAAACACAGTGGTTGAGTCAACCGTCCAGTCACTCTCCACTTGCTTCCGGTTGCGCACCTCTGGCGATCCAGAGGCTGCTATGGCGGGACGTGCAGGGGTTGGTATCGTCCTAAGTCACCGGACGGAAGGATCCTTGCTTAACTGGATGCCTGTTGATAGTCGCCTCTATGCGATTCGTCCGGCAACGTCTGTGAAGGAATCTTACAAGGGGAAGTTGATTTGTGTGTTTGTCGTGTCGCCCCAGTCGACTGTGGCTCCGACGCCATTAAATACAGGTTTTATGACGCCCTGAATGCCATGCTGCGGCGAGCTAAAAGCCCAGATATCGTGGTGGATGCCGGAGATATGAACGCACTAGTGGGCAGGTTTAGCGAATCTGATCGACATGAATTGGACTCGGTACATACGGAAAATGGTGAACAGTTGCTTCAGCTATGTGCTGACCACAGGCTGTTTTTATGCAGTCGTGTGGCCACATCGTGTCACCCAAGGGTATGCCGGTCACACTATTCGATGCTATCTTTCATCATCAAGCTTCCTTTCCCACTGAAGTGAATATGGACATATTGTTAAAATAATGTGCTGCCTGGGAAGTCCAACTGATTCCCAGAGAGGACGTTATGGACAACATTTTGCTGTCCTGAGAGGAAACTTGAAGACGACGGCATTACATACGTGTGGCGCCGGGGCTGTATTCCCAATAATGAGGTGTATCACGTGGCATTTGGCAAGCTGTCCACTGGATGCTCGACTGACAATTTCATACAACCACGCCGGTTACGCTGGTTTGGTCATGTGTTAAGAAGACCCGAGGACCGTTATCAGGAGTGCGGCGGACAGACTGCGGCCACTATGTTAGAAGGCATCCATGAACAAACATGTAGAGCCGTTTAGAATGCTCTGGTCCGAGTAGGCGGAACAGATTTAACAGCCGTAGAGCAAAACCTCTCGAGTGCCTGGCGTGTACCCGTAAGACTAGCAGACGACGCACAGCCTGCAAAACGTTGTGGTAACACGATCAGCCTATAACTGCTCAAATCCGATTCAAAACCTGCCGACCAAACACCTCGGTATTTCGCACTGTACACTTGAAAGTCAATGCAAGCCAGGGTTATTCAGTCAGTAAGTTTCATTTGTTCTAGCCAGCAATCCAGATTTCCGGGGTCACGTCAGTAGGCATAGCCCTTTAGCAACCTAAGAACAGATTGTGAACGGAAGAAAAGCACTATTAAAATGCATGCATCCAGTAAATCTCTTTTTTGTTTCAACGGAGAGGAAAATGGAGATCCAAGCTTTTGAAATCCCAATGTGTTCAGTGTGTTTTCTAGCGATGGTGTTCACTTGAATTAAGTTCTTCAAAGCTGTCGTGTGTTACGTATGACAAGTGAGGCAAGCCATCAGAATGTGTGCATGTGTTCAAGCTCTAGTTTATAGTGTACATGTAAACATAGTAACAGTAACAGGGAAACATTCAGATTCTCTAATCCTAAGTTGAACCACTGATAAAAAAAACGCAGTTAATGCAAAAGGGGTCACTGCATGAGCCAAATGATGTCCACAGGTTACCAGATTTTAAAAATACCAGCGGTATTTACGTTCAAACACAACTGCACGAGAGGCCGTATTACCGGCGGCTCCTGAAGCTGTGACACTAAATATGAGCAACTTAACAAAACGAATTACCTGGAGGATGACTGGTTCTTATCCGGGGAGGTAGATGAAACTTGTGCAGCATATACATCCGTGGAAGACTGTGGAACCAAAAATAAAATGCATGATTCGGATCAGAAGACTTTATACAACAGGCATCAGAAAACAGCAGACGAAAACTGCGTACATCAAGCAAATTAATAAGTCACAATGAAAAAAGGTTGCACAGAAAACATGCATCCATAATGTGAGCTTTCTCCATCATTACCTCCAAAGAAGCTTTCACGTTCGCGTCTATCAAGTTAATTTAACCATCAAGAGTAGAAATTCTCCAATGTTCTCCAAAGACTAGGGAGGTCATAAACTCCAAACTACCTGTTGTTCGTAAAAAGTTGGAGGCTTGTCGGACTAAACAACATATCTCCTCCAAATAACCTAGCTTCGTTCCCCATGATTCGATTCCGAAAGTTTACACCAGTTTACCCTAACCACTGCATACTTGATTAACTTCGCTTTTCATGCAATTCACCTTCGAAAGCTCCGCAAACAACTTAAAGAGGTTCTGTGAATGGATGGAATCCGTGAGGGAATCATACACATTTCCCAATAAAACCTCAATTACAATGAATAAGAAGAAGGTGAGACACATGAGATTAGGTGGTGCTATCTAAGGAAACCGGTGGTAAAACACCACAGTGCGCAACGACACCAGAGTGCAAGGAAACATTTCCCACAAACCACTGAACCGTTCCACCGAGTAAGCCACTCCACCTCAACTGCTGTAGAGACCAATCCATCACTCCGTGAACGAGCGCCCATATGATATTTTGACCGACACCTACATTTCCACCCAAGAGCATCACCAACTCAATTTTGTTTACGGAGATCTTCAACCTCGCAGACTGGCTGTGCTGGCAGACCGCATCCACTCGTGACTCGTTCAGCTATAGCAGTGAATTCGCGTTTTAACCACTGAACCATCTCGCCCTTCGATCGCATCGGCACCCAACAGGGTTGATAGTTGGACTTCAAACAAACCAGTCTAATAATTACAAATGAGGTAATAAATGTCTATTCCTAATAATGTTCAACCATGCCTCCCATGTCCACCTGTGAAAAAGCTTGGAAGTTTTAAATATGACAATGTCAGAACGTTGATAACTCTTTTAAACTAGTTGCTCACTCCACAGGCGAGGGTGTAGACTGCACAACAGTATTTCAGCCCTTTGCCAAAACGGATCCATTCTTTATAAACTTAATGATTACGTGTACCCACGCAATTACACAGCTACATATCCAAATACTTTCATGGGTTAGATCCATCAATAAGGACTGTCCCCTGAGCACCAACGGTCGTATGACTATGTCAACGACCCTAGATGACACGCACTTTACTCCACAATGAACTCCATGAATCTGAGGCGATTGAATCTTAGCGCAGTTATACAACTCCTTGTGGTTGAGAGATGTGAAAGTCTGACAATAAGCACCACTCCTTTCGGTGTGGTGTCCTTCGAGTTGGATTTGAAGTACTCTTAGCTTACAGAAAGAGTGGATTTGCAGTGATGAACTAGCATTAAGACACGGATGCATACATGCTTAATGTTGCCACCCGTGACCCCAAGTAGACATGTGGCTGGGATACCTGAACAAGGTGACGAAACGATCCGCACGCCTTACAGTTTGTGATGGTGGTGAACTGATCAGATTGGAAGCTTAGAGAGCATACAAATGCATCGGATACACAAAACAGATATCTATGAAACAAAATTGAAATGATAACTAGAATTGAAACAGAGAAGTACGAGTCAAAATGTCATACAGATATTCGGTGACGGTAGCACTGAGGTAAAATCGTTCAGCTATAGCACCCTTTTGGTGCCTAGCTGCCATGCCAGCGGACGAGGGCCGCGATACTGTCAGGTTGCCCAAGCCCAGACAGGGCAGTCAAGGTCAGTAAATTCGCGCTCTAGCTACTGAGCCACCTCGCACCCTACACAACAACGCGCTCTCCTCCAAAGGCTTGTAGAGCTTGAAATCGATGTGACTCGTCTGATCCGATTAAACTGTTACCCGTGCATGCGGTCAACTACAACGACGGTCAGAGAAGTCTTGTCTACAAACGAGTCAACCTCAAGTGAACTTGCCAATAGCTTTGTATTGTTTCCCTTATTACGCCTCACTTTAAACACAGCGTCTGTATTTCACTCGTGCTTACTGCGGGTTATACAGGCGTGGTTCGATGTTCAGTTGCTCGTTGTTCGCAGGGCCAATGTAGATGATACTCACATTCAGTCTACGAACAAATAGCCCCCAGGTTAGTTGTGCCAACTAACACAGATTTCCCTAGCGCTCTGCAAGCTACGACCGGTCACTAAGGAAAAGCGCCTGGAAACAATCCGCCATGACCCAGGAAATTCCGCCTAAGAAAATTCACCGCCAGAATACGCGCGAAGTCAATTCGTCTTACTCCCGGAATTCCGGAGCGACCATTCCGGACTACACCAGACCGCACGTTCAGCAAGGGATATGGGTTTAGGGACTCAGGCACAAAAGTGACGCCATAGCTCTTGAGCAAGCGTAACGGCAAGCCAAAAAATGGGTAACCCATTGTTTTCGAACTGTCTCCAGATAGCCCAGTGGTTAAGGGACGAACTTTCGGGTGACTTTCGAGTGGCATGGTAGCTAGAAACCGAAAGGGTGTTACAGCTGGACGAGTATTATTATTCTGGTGAAAGTGGAGACGGCTACGAGGTGACTCAATAATTACTCGCTCGAAAGTAAGAGGCACCCATGCTGTCCCATTGTGCAGATTACCAACCTTCAAGGACACAAGCAAAAATTAATGAACACTACGACCAATTAAGGGTCGATACGATTTTTCACTTTTCACATCAGGCAATACTGGAATAATTGGAACATTGTTTGGGAGTAAGCCCTTATCATTAAGGGCTTCATGAACGTACAAGCATAGAAACTTCTTTCGAGGAATCATGGTGAAAAGAAAAGAATGAGAAGGGACAGGACCTGATGTGCATAAAAAAGATAGGATCTTGTGGTGTAGAAGTCGAGAACAATACTACACTACTCACTAAATGTCATAGTCATGAAGGCATCGTACTGTAGTGTCGGGTCACTTCCGTTCGTGATGCACGAACAAAATCGACAGATGTGGTGCGAGGCAGAGGCTAATTGACCAGGAAAATCAGCAAAGTAAAACAATAGTGCACCACTTGGGGAAGAAGAACGAACTTACTCGGCTCACTCTGCACACACTTGGGGAACCAGGAGGAAACTTTTTGCGACTAGAAGAGGGCTCGAGCGCAGGCAGACATGTCTGATGAATCGGACGTGTTTGTTGCGATATAATCAAGGTTAATGGTTTATCTGGATTCGGAGTAACAACAAGCGACGTTGGTCGACCAAATGCAGACTGATTGATATCTGTTAGGGCCGTATCTCCTCGCTGCTTCAGCAAATTGACGATATTTTCCGGGAGATCTTTTCCTTTGGATTCTGCTGACAAACATTCTAGGCGCTCGAGAACAGTCGACAGCATGCGTTCCAGTTCCGACTGAGCAGAAGCCAAGTCGAACATATGCATTTCATTCGAATGGAGTACTAAACAGAGTGATGAATCAGTCAGTATGACCTACTTTTGTGTAATGTTGGATACAATGACTCCATCGACTGAGCCTCGTGGTAAGGGTAGAATAGGTTGCAACTAGAATGAGGTAGACTGCTTCTCCTCCTCCCCATCTTGAGCCAGCTTCAACAAATCCGAATTTGAAAATGAATATCTCGGAACTGGAGGGGAACGGAGAATAACAAGTGGTTACAAACTGTGGCAAGTGGAGTACTAAAAACAGACCAGCCGCGAATCGTTTAGAATTGAACGGTTTGACCTGAGGTGAGATAAACTAACTTTCAATGTTAAACGATGACTAGCCCAGATGGGATAGACTACTGAATCGTTTGTTCTTGGAAGGGTCATGCAAGGAAACCCAAGTCAAACTATCGCGTCCATGGTCGGCGAATCAAACCATTCGTTGACCCATCACTTTGCGAACCGCAGTTCTCGAGCCGACGTTTCAAAGTGAGGTACCTCAACTAGACCTCCTTCTTCGACCCAAGCAACCTGGAAGTATAAGTTGCCCCTGTCGTTCTTTGTTCACCGATGTCAACTTTCAATTCCTTCCCGCTCTACAAGCAGACATGGACAGATTTTTTACTATCAGGTATCCGATCAACATACGAGGTAATTTCTACGTAGCAGGTTTCAAGCGTTTTGATTTATACGACTATCAAAGTCGGTCATCAGAGCCATGTGAAGTGATATTCGGGTAGTCTATTCGCTGTCGATGCCCTCCAAAGCGACAACGGAAAGTGACCTGTCCATTCGGGAATTAAACATCAACCACTCCGGTGAAGAACGGATTTTTAACAAAAACGTTCGTACGGTGTAACCTAGTGGCCAACACCTGCAGGCCAACTGTGGACTAAGCTGGATCATGTGGTTACCATCCGTCGAATAGCTCATATATCTGCAACGGAAGAGGATTACCTGACAAAACATGCTAGTACTAGGTTAGTAAAAGTATCCGGAGAATGGAGCACCCATTAACTATTCCAATTGCAAAAAAATGTCGCACGAACTGGTCCTCTGGGTTGGGAGTGTAGCTACTTTGAAAAAATGTAATGCGCTGGAATTGACCACCAAGCACTGCTACTTTGTGGTCAGGCCTTTGAGCCAAAGGCCTTGGTCAAGGACCAATGTCTTATCTCTCTGGATTTGGCAGCCTTGGCAGTATCCCAACTCATTTACATGGTACTTAAAACAAACAAAATACTTTCATTTCACGTCGACCATTGCGTGGTGTTACTAGCCGGGTCACCTTACTGCATACAGCAGGGCGAGTTAACGAAAAACATGCTCTTGCATCAGCAGCAGCATGACATCAGTGTTCAACACCGATGCTTCGCTGAGGTACTGCCATGATTTGTTTGAGAGCCTTGCTGTGAAGAAAAGAATAGAGGTGGACAGAGAAGGGACTCATTGTTAGCTTGCTACAATCATTTCGAGTTGCCTACGCTTCCAGACACTCATTCAAACAATCTGGATGGAAACTAACGACACGAACGCCATTTACATCGACTAGTAGCCATATATTGCAGCGTCTCCAACCAGGCGCAGTGGTGGTTATGTGGTCCCTATCCTGGTAGGCGAGCAGCACCGACAGCACCCAAAGTTTCCGTAATCTCTTTCACACCCCTTTGCCAGGTTAAGGGTTGACAAACTCTTTGATTCTGCCATCCTGAGTTGGGCACGGGAAATACCACCCCATTCGGTAAGCGATGGTTTGGAATACACAATACATGGCCAAACCAACGCAGCTTCTGGTCATGGACAAACTCTTCAATGTATGTTCCTGTTACACAACCAAAAACTAGTTTTCTAACTGCCTTGTTACAGATTCTCCGACACCAACTCACGCGAGCTATGGTCCTGAGAAAACGATTGTCGAACACCTGAAGACGTCGCAGTTCCGCCGCTCAAACGGGCCAAGTCTCACAGCCATACAACAGAACAGATCGTACTGTAGCCTGATACACGTGTCCGTTGAGATTCAGGGAATTACAACTTTGACGACACAGGTGTGTCAAATTAGAAAACGCGACCAGGGCCATGGAGATTCGTGAATTGACCTCATCTGCTATACTGAACTAATACAACTTCCAAGATACGTAAAGCGCTCCACAACTTCGAATGCCTCCCTTTGGATTGTAAGTAACGTGTTCAGTGACTGCATGTCTACGAGCATAACCTTATACTTTGTGGGTGCAAAGTGCATACCAAAGGACGGGATGACTTTGGTAAGTTCATCCAAAAACACTTGCGCCTTCTCCTCTTCAAATATAAGAACGGTATCGTTGGCATGTTCTGATTGGCAAGGTTTTCGTCGGAGCCCACTTGAACACCGAGGTTTTGAAGAATTTCCAGCGTTCGTTTTATTCGCGCACCGATCACGAAATCAAACCAGAATGGAGAGTGGGTGCCCCTGACGGACACTGCTTTGTGTACGGAAGCTTTAGGAGAGCTCTCCGTATACTCTTACAGGTTCAGAAGTCTGAGAATACAAAAAACATTATGTTCACGAACTTCCGGAGCATTCCTTGGTGGGCAAGCGTGTCAAGCAGAACAGACCGGTCGACTGAGTCAAATGCGCCTTGAAAACCCAGGAATACCAAAATTGTGGGGCATTTATATGTATGGCGTTGTTCTAGCACCTGATGGAATGTAGAGACTTGGTCAGCGTAACACCTACCGGGACAGAACCCCACTTGATGCTCTTGACTCAGTGTTTCACGAGCCACCATTAGGCGACGAAGCACAAGTGGCGCCAGCTGTCTCTTTACTGTGGGTGTTAAGCTGGTCCCCTGTGGCCACCACACTCACCACTCACCGACTCCCCCCAGTCGTGTGAGGCATTCTCCTTTTCCCGATTGCAGGCAAACAGATCAAACAAGCGCTGATTTTATCCCCGTTTTTTAACAATGCGGGTGGGAGGTCATCTGGACCAGAAGCTTGGTGGTGCTAGAGAGAATATATGCATCCATACACCTCCCAGGCCATGGGAAGAGGCCCCATCACTCTCCACTCGATTCCGGATGCACACCTCTTGCGACTCAGAGGGCACTGAGGCAGAATCTGCATGGGTCAGCAACATCCCAAGTCACCGGTCTGAAAGATCCCCGCTTTATTGGATACCTGTTGATAGTTGTCCGTATAAGGGCGAGATGGTTCAAGTGGTTAGAGCGCGAATTTACTGGCCGGAAGGTCCGTGGTAAAACCCGACCTCTGCCTCTCGACTTCCCTTGCCTAGGCCTGGGCAATCTGGTAGTATCCTAGCCCTCGTTCAACATTCGGGTGGCATGGCAGTTAGGCACCGAAAGGATGCTACAGCCGAACGACAGCGTTGTCGGTGTGTGCTTCATCTGACAACTCCCGTAAAGGAGTCCACGAGTGAGAAGTTGATCGCTGTCGGCCTATCGTGTCCGCGAACCCCCGACCAACTGCAGCTCTGATACCACCAAAGACACCCCTTATGATACCTTGAGTGCCACGGTATGGGGAGCGGAGCTAAAAGCTCAAATATGGTTGGTGTTGCCGGAGATTTGAATGTCAACCCGGGATATGCGGAATATATTGTTCCCATTTTTGAAAAACAGGGCAAGTATACTGGAAATGCTGACCAAGGTCGTCCGGTCCTACGACACCTATAACGTGCAGATTCTTGCGGCAGGACATACAGCCTTTGAACATGCCTCTACAAACTCAGGGAGTGACACTAGAAGTTGTGGGACGCTATATATATCCTGGATGTTGCATTAGTTCTGGCGATAGTGTAACGGACGAAGTCAACGCACGAGTCTTGAAAACCAAAACTGCTCTTACACATTTGCGCCACCTGTAGCATTAAAAAGAGATCGCTTGTTATCAAGGGATGAGTATATCAGTCTATAGTGCGGGCTGTATTGCTGTATGACTGTGAACATTCGTCCCTTCCGGCGGAGCATCCGGGACATATTCAGGTCTTTGACTACCAATTTCTCAGAACAGGAATCGGCTGGAACCAGCGAATTAGCAACATGGTTAGAAGACGCGTTTTTAGTGAAGCAGATGGTACTTCACTCGAAGAACTTATCCAGTACTGCGTGGTCAGATTGCGGGGCAGAAACGAGTGCTGTTCGCCATACCTAATTTAAAGTGGTTGAGATCTAGAGTTAAACAAAATTTGATATGTCAGAAGAGAGTGAAGGATATCATAAAAAGTTTGGGCAGCGTTGGTGCTGTCTATATGACCCTACGTGTGCCTGGCTGGAGATAGTGAACGATATGGCGACAAATCGATGTCAGCGGCGTCCTTGCCACCAGTTTGTGGATATAATCTGTCTGGCTTAGTGTTGGAGGTGTAGGGATCGCGGAAGTTTGTGGTACGCGAGCCCTAGGTCACCCTTACTGTCCAATTTCTCTGTTTCCATTAGAGAGATCAATTAAGTTGGCAAGAATGTACGGTGGTGAGGTACCAGTGTTCCCGGCAGATATTGCTGTCAACGATGATGATAATGAGTTGTCAACGAAACAGTGGGCAAAATCGACTAATGAGCGATTCTGTATTGTAGGGAAGTTTGTCAGGTGTAGCCACTATTGACGTTTCGATTCAGACTAACCAAAACTATCCGTGGACCGCAAACCCCAAACAAGTTGGATTGAGGTACTGACAAGTTCGGTTCCGCAGCCGGGTAGACGGATTTCGGAAAAAACAAGCGATACGCTGAGAAGGATCATTTCGACCAAGGTTTCTCCAAGCTAATGCGTCAAGCAAAAAAGCGTTGACATTGTCATTCTCGCAAGCGATACGAACGCCCAACTTAGTCGCCCGAGCTCCTTAGAACTGCATATGAACAGTCGATTCGGAGTCGATGCATGCAACAAAAGAAAGCGACTCCTGCAGCTGTGCCCTGACCATCGGCTGTTTCTGACCAACACGAATTACCGCTTAACCTGGCTGCTAAGAAAGGGTAGTTACTGGATGCTTGTGAGATGCGGACACATGAGTGGGTGTCACTGTTCTGCAGGTGGCCGTATCCGCTTCTGCTGAAGATTGTTTATTGAGTGGAGCACTAGCTATTCAAATAGAAGTTGAATTGGACTAGTACTGAATATAGTCAGCGTCGATGAATATTACGAGAGCTCAGTTCACTGATATCGACCCGATGAGACTGGCTTCGAGCAGGCGGTCCAAATAATTTTTATGCACCTACTTTCAACGCATAAATGCTATAAACGCGCACATCCAAGATGCTGCCACATATCATCCGTGTCACACTGAAGGGCCCGCCACATCCTCACAGCATTCAGTATATTTAGTTCCTTCGTCCAAATCGTTGGAAACTCCAGCTGATCATCATATGAATTATAAACCTCAAAGCATGGGATGAGCCAATTTACCTTGTGGCAGACTTCACGGAATTACGGATTGGTACACATGGCCGAGGCTTTCTACCAAGCTTCCCGCGTCAGGTTTAAACTTGTCGTTCAGCGGCATTCGTTCACCTGGAAGGCACAAGCGAAAAAATGGAGTAGCGTTGCTGTTTCGGTTATCAGCGCGGAGTATTAGCAGGCCAGCTTGAAGACACAAAAAAGCATGTGAAATTGTTCTACATGCAGCGCGAACAGCTGTTGGATAAAGGGTATTCCACGCACCAACTACCTGAAATGGGAAAAACCGTTTCCAACATAAAAATGTGCACTCTGGACTTAAAAATCTTCTCAGCATGTCCTTTCAAATACATAAGAAGGATGGAGGGTGAAAAACATGTAAGCCAAAAACTGTTCAAGGAAGGCCCCTAGGGAGTGACGGTAGTTTGAGGGAGAGTCCAACCACCCCAAGACGTGTTTGATAATCAACGAATTGGAAGCTAGCAATCGTCTTCATAGCTGCCCGTTGGACACGCTCAGTGGGGGTAATGTCCATTTTGCGTCCTGAGTGGACAACTTGGTTCGCGTTTACAAGCAGCGGTTTCACGTAGGCCCTATAGAGTACCTGAAAGTTCATGCGAGTAATACGGGGAAAGGTACGCTAAATCATTTGTGGGATAGTAAATGCCTTTTGAGATGATTTTTCATGGTGGAGTGAGAACACGTTTGAATAAGGCCAGATACCTTAATCTCCTGGAGTACTA